AGTACCTCAACAAATGCATAACCAGGAGGCCTGGGCGGGATTTTCAGTTCTATGTGCACAATTCTTCCATACTGCATCAAGAGACAGGACGATGTCAATCAAACACATACTACAAGATGTTGTTCTCTGAACTAGTTAACAGAAAAGTAATCAGCTCTTCAAAGTGAAATCAACCTTGTAAAACAGATCTTCCACCTCACGCTCACGAATGTCACCGGGAAGGTTACCGACGTAAAGGGTTCTGCTCGAGCGACTCATTCTTGCTAGATAAATTCAAGCACACAAATTATAAGGAATGACTGAACAGTTCGTGTAACAGGGAAGATTAAGCCCAAAAAAAAGGTAAGCAACAATCCACTTCACTCCGACTAGACATATGAACCGATAGAACTCGAAGAACAGATTGCATTTGTGAAACGGAAATCCATTAAAGCATCACGACTAGCATAAAACCCATGAATCAATCATAATCTTCCAATAAAAACAAATAACTAGTATGATCACACAAAATTAGCAAGAAATACAATAAGCCCGAAATCTGCGAATTTACCGAGACGTACAAAGCAGACGATGGCGATAATTGGCCGGTCCAAATGAAGATAGAGCTAGGTTTTAGGGGTTTTCTAAAAGGGCGAGTGACGGCAGATTATTATTGCACAGTTTAAATAGAATATAATAAATTATATTTATGCATATAGTATTAAAATTATAAGTTATACAATGATATTATATTTTAAACATAGAGTATTATAAATTATATTTATACATATAATAATAAAATTATAAATTAGATAATAATATTATGTTTTAAAATTTGATCATTGGTTAAAATAAACAATACATAACTATTTGATTACATATGAACCACTATATTAATTACATAAAACATAATAAATAATGTAATTTTGAGAGATCGTCAATTTATTAGCTTAAAAATATTAAATTTATTATAACATTTGATTATGAGATTTTAAGGAATTTTACTATAACATTAAAATAAATTAACTTATTTAAAAATACAATTGCTAAATAAGATAAAAAAATATAATATTAATTTTAAAATAAATGACTTCAGCAAAAAGTTTACAATATTTATTTACGTTTATGTAACTTTCATATATCATTTAGTTGGAATAATAATAATAATAATAATAATAATAATAATAATAATAATAATAATAATAATAGAAGATTATAACATAAAAAGAAGATAAACAACAATTTATATTATTAAATTACTGTTAGTAATTAAATATAGAGAGAGAGATATAAATGATAAAGTTTGTAACGGTTTTTTGCGGGAAATCGAAATAAGGTTTTATTAAAGGTTTTATTAAATGCTATTAGTCAGTAATTATATATATATAGATGTACGAGACAATGGGCAATCCGCTTGTTGGCAAGACGAATGGACCCGAGATAATTAAGGTTTTTTTAATATGTAAGAAATTATAAAAAACACTATTTTGATAAGTATCATTGTTTAAATTGAGTTCGAAAAAGATTTGTGGTTGCCCGAGTATTTTTATAAAATTCTTTTATGGCTATTTTTTAAAACTAGTTGATAAATTTCACCAGCTTATTTGAAAAGCTAACTAATGAAATAAGTTTGAACTTTTTTACGAAATTTCGTCTTACCAACCCAAACATAATTGTATATATAAAAAGTTTATAAGATTACAAAATAACCAAAAACGTATTTGTATATAAAATACTTATAAACTAACAAAATAAGATATAAGCTAACTTATAGTGTTTATTAAACACACTCTACATTGAAGTTTCACAAAATTATATAATTGGTGTCTCTAAAATGAACTTTTTGGAATAAGAAAATTATATAAAAATAAGATTACGTATATCAAAAAATAAACTGTATCTCTAGAAGTCTGTTTTAACAATATTCCAAAACAAGTAGTAACTTATTCATAATTCCTCAAATAATCCCCTAAACAAAAAACATGGTTATATTTAGGCTATGTTTGATACTGGGTAACAAGCTTGATTATTTCCCTCAAATAGGCTTTAGGCTACGGCCTTCTTTGGCAATTATAACTTATTGTATTAGCGCATAAGTGACAGAGGATTACAATTATTTTGAAAATTTGGCCTTCTTTGGCAATTAGCTAATAGCAAATAATTGATTCTCTTAGCGCATAGATTATAACGGATTATAATTATTTTGAAAATTTTATGTTAACATGTTATTCTACGGATTATATAGGAATTCCAAAATTTAATCATATCAAAAGTCCATGTATCCATTTCATCTCAAAAGTTTAAAGAAGTTCCAAACTACTGTAATTAAAAAATGAAAAACTAATAAATCAGTTGCTCAACTGTGAGGGCATCCTTGACCTTGAGGGCATCTTTGACCTTGAGACTGATGAGTAGTCGAGTACTGCTGCCAACCAACCACACAAGAGCCTTTCGATCCATTGGTCTGAACCGCCCATATTTTGTTTAATTTCAAGCAAAAATATGATATAATACACATCGCATACATAATTTCCAACTATAAACAGCCTTAGTGTATACATTTCCTTAACAAAATGAGAGCAGTCAATAGCATAATACTATTCCAAACCATTCTGTTTCTTGATCGACCTTACTCTTTAAAAAGAAGAAAAAAAAAGAAAAAAAAAGGAAGCAGAATGAATACACACCTCACCAATAACAAAGCAAATATGTTTATTTGTTTATTTTTCGTTCTTGTAACATCTATAAATCATCCTAAACAATCATATGCAGATGCATCAATTATAAACAAATATGCTTCAAAAAAACCACGAAAATAAGAGCAGCCACAATTGTCTACTTGACAACAAATTCAGAATCCCATGAAAGGTCCTTAAACTGGATCAACAAAACAATGTGTGCATGACAGCAGCAAATTGCAATGCATCCATATGCGACAAAAGAACATAAAATCTCACATTTTTCACCAACAAAAAAGAAAAACAGTGTCGAAGACACAACACATAATTCAACCGAGTCATTTCTTTATTTTTTTAGAACAAAGGTCCGAACAAATTCAGTTACCCAAACCCAAGTCAATCTTTTCCGGACGGGCAAAGAAAAGAGAGAATAATAGTGATATCCTCAATGATGAACATCATCATTTCCACCTCCCTTTGCCTTCTCTGCAGATGCTCTCAGTTGGCGTTGCTCCTCTTTGTATACTCGGTTACGGCGTCTAAACTGTACATAAATGAAATAATTTCAACTAACTCATAAGAAGAAAAAATAAAAATAAAAATCACACAAACACAAACAGACATGGTAGGAGGACCAAAACTGAGGCTACCAGCCTTAAAATATGGGCAATTCGAATATATTCATACGGACGTGGACCATAATGATTTCACGCAATATTTTGAAATGAAATTTGTTCATTGATGTCTTCAGGCATGTAATTAGAGTAAACTGCACAATCTAATATAACTACAAAAGCAAACGTAGAAGACAAGACTACGGAAAGAAAGAAAAATGATCATCAAGGCAGGGTGGGTGTGGCCTTGAACCAGGACCTGTAAGTTATTTAATCCTAGTACAGTCAAATTGTCATTTGGTATTTTTTTTTTTTTCCCAAATTTCGTTTGTTAAAATTATTTCTAATAACCACCCACATGAATTAAGGCAAGCAATTTGACTGTATCTTTGTTGTAATGTCAAGTAGCAATCGTGATGTAAGCATGCTATGTGCCACAGACAATTCAACGTTTGTCTAATCCATCAATCAGGATTAAGAATAAACACAAGGGAAAAGAAAAAGAAAAAGGAACAACTATTGCATTTGAATCTGACATAGTAATAAAAGTACATACAAATGCTAAACGTTTCACACCACATACTTCCCTAATTTCACAAACGAATATCGTCGATCCCAAAATAAATGCAGGTAGAAACATCGTAACATATGGCAATAACCTGACAACAAATTACACCCTGAGAAAGTACCACGAGCTTGTAGCTCAAGTGAAACCTCTCACCCTTCGTAAGGTTGTTGTACTGGTGGATACAAGGTTCGATCCTTGTTCCTCACAGTTATTTAGGAATTTAGACTCTCATCACTGTGGATTCCCATATAACTACTAAAAATTTACATCCTGAAGAAAGTAAAACCAGCAAAGTTACATTTGATCTGCCCTATCTCAATCCCATCAGGCCACGACACTTCCACATTTACATACGGCATATGGTGCATTCCAAATGTAATCTTGTCAACTTCTCCATAACATCTCAGCTTTGGACATAAACCAACATAAGTAACTCCATTCGTTTTTGTTTACCATGTACATTAGAACCGAGACAGTAAACTAGAAAGTAGATTTCATCACACACCTGTATGTACAAATCCATTTATAAACATTTCTACTCAATTTCAATACTCAATCCCTAGACAATATCAAAGGCCAGAATAAGAGCCACTGATCCACCCAATTTGAAACTAATTTCAACTCCTAATCAAACCCATAAAATCTCTCAATCCACGAACACAATCGACAAATTGCCGCTAATGGGGATAAACTTTCGGCTACCAAGTTGAATACAGACTTTAACCTTCTTTTTTTTTTCTTTCGTGTGTGTGTGTGTACAAATTCGTTTATAAACAATTATACTCTATTTCATGGCTCAATCCCTGAACAATATCGGATGCCAGATTCATAAGCACTGATCCACCCAATTCGAAACGAAATTCAATTCTTAATCAAACCCATCAAATCTCAATCTCCCACGAACACAATCGACAAATCGCCACTAATAGATAGAAAATTTCAGCTACCAGGCTCTGAATACAGAATTTTTTTCACATGCCTGGAGCTGAATCGAACAGTTTCAGAAGATGGGTAATACCTCTTTAGAGTGGTGCAGACACTCGAAATAGTCCTCGCGGAGGAGTGTGCAGTCCTTGGGCTCCCGACATCGGGACATGCAGTCACTGAAGTCCATCCAGAAATCGTAGCAGCGGCCCTTGTTCCCCGTGATTCCCCATCCCGACGCCATTTTTCACCGGAGCTTTTTCTCTCTCGTTTTGTGAAGGCCGTTCTTATTTGATTGGGCTTTGTTACGGTTTGGGTGTTCCGTGGGCTTGTTTGCTTCTAGGACTGGATATTAAATGGGCATTATTTTGGGAAAAAAAAAAATAAAATAAAATAATGATGTTATATATGTTGTGTTATTTTGCTTTAGCATTTTAATTAAACTTTTTGATTTTTTTAAATATGATATTTAAAATAAAATCATTCATAAACTGTTTATAACTAACATAAACCAAAATACATTTAATTTATAAATATGGTGGGGTCAGCCCCTAGCTCAACCGCAATTGAATCCGCCTCTTCTCCCGGATGACAATAAGGAGCTAGCGCATCAACAACAAACTCCAAGAAAGAGCATCCCGTTTACGAATCATAAGCACGAGGGCCTCTAGATTAAACCAATTTTTGTTTGGATCAGTGAAGAATGTATTAGACATGCTGGATGGATGGAATAGACAGGCACAAACCATTGACTTGGTTTGATTTTCTTAAATATGATATTTAAAATAAAATCATTCATAAACTGTTTATAACTAACATAAACCAAAATACAATTTAATTTATAAATATGGGGTCAGCCCCTAGCTCAACCGCAATTGAATCCGCCTCTTCTCTCAGATGACATAAGGAGCTAGCGCATCAACAACATGCTCCAAGAAAGAGCATCCCGTTTACGAATCATAAGCACGAGGGCCTCTAGATTAAATCAATTTTTGTTTGCATCATCAGTGAAGAATGTATTAGACATGTTGGATGGATGGAATAGACAGGCACAAACCGTTGACCTGGTTTGATTTTTTTAAATATGATATTTAAAATAAAATCATTCATAACCTGTTTATAACTAACATAAACCAAAATACAATTTAATTTATAAATAAGTGTCAAAAATACATCATAAATCAAACATTTATAAATTATAAAAGTTAGTATGTTTGGAAAAAATCATAAATATACAAATAAATGACATTTGCAAGTGAATGATGTATTTTTTTCTTTTATGATTCGGGGTAAATCTTGTTGGTTATCATATTTGGATTTAGAACGTGTTTGGTAATTACCATAAATAAATTTATAATTTGTAAGTTCCAAAAAAATAAATTATAAGTTGGCTCTTAACTTATAAGGTACTAGTTAGGCTTTTAAATAAATTATCAAAAATATTTTTTTTATAGTAGCGTGTTTGTTAAGCGTCGTAATCTACCTTATATTGTATTTAAATAAGTTTGCCTTGATATGATGGAAATTTTTGAAAAGATTGAGTATGTCTCATAAGTTTTCAATTATCTTTCCAAAAAATTTAAATCGATTTTTTATTTTTACTTATAGCCTAATTTTACCAAACACTTTTATTACATTAACTATACTTACAGTCATCGTCATAACTTATTAACTATAAACTCGAAATTCATTTATTTAATCAATTAATTTATCAATTAGTTTTTCATTATACCAAATATACCCTGAAGAAACTATTGATTTCTTTTTCTTTTTTTTCAACTAACTTTATCGAATATTATTATTACAAGTTTGTTTGTTAAGCACCATAAACTAATTTATATCTTATTTACTTAACTTATCCCCCTTTATATATTAATCCAGAACGTGTTGAGCCTATGTGGCAGGCTCGCATGCTTCGGGATCTTATGTGGCAAAATTACATGCTTCGTTATTAGGCTTGGATAGATTTAATTTACTTCTAATCCAAAAATATTTAGTTCAGATTATCTATAAATATGTTGATTATTTATGGTAGGGGTGGGCGCGGTCCGGGACGGTCCTGGATTTGACTTGTTCGGATACCGATTTCACTTTTATGAATCGGTCCATGAACAGTCCGGGATGAAGTACCGTCCCCACCCATGTAATACATGGGTGTTGTATCAGTAATATTTTATAATCAAATAAATTTAGTTTTGTGGATGAATTTTATAAATAGCCTAAATTATGTCAAATACTTATTGCATCGTTTCAAATAAGCATATTGATATATTTATTTCAATTGACATATCATAAGTTTTTCCAAACAACTATTTCATGTTTAAAAATAAGTTACAAATTGATTTAGAAATTAATAAAAACAAAGTAAAAGGTTTCCAAAATAACACAGCTACAGTTCACCAGACCCACTTTGAACAAAAATCTCCGCCTTCAAAAAATCCGAACCATCCAAAACTCTTTTCCACAACAAAATCTTCTGATAAAACCTCGAATTGCAGCTTCAAAATTCGCTTCACTTACAAGTTACAACGCAACAATGTCGCGCGGGTCCGTGGATTCGCTTCACGCCGTAGAATCGTGCGCCTTCAAGCTCTTCAACTGGAGGCCCTTCGCCAAGTCGCTAGACTCCGATCACGCCGCAGGGCCCGGCGGCGGACCCCACAGCAAGCGCCCCTGCCGTGCGGATCGCGCCACGTCGTCGTTCTCCATCGACGCGATACTCGACATGTCCAAGCTCACCCTCTTTGACGACGACCGTGCCCTATCGCTATCCGCCGCGCGCAAGCGCTGGCTCGCCCGAAAGCGCCGCCGCCGGGCTGGATCGAGGTCGGTTTCCGGACGGAGCTCAGATCGTAGGGGCGGCTGCTCGGTCGGCGCCTCCGGAGCCAACGGCACCTGCTCCGATTTGCCGATGGCGACGGGCGGCACGGATTCGAGCGGGGAGCTGTTTGGAGACTCGAATTGGGCGTCTGATGTGAGCGATAGGAACTCGAGGAGGGGGAGGGAGGGGAGCGGCGGTGGGGAAAGGGAGAATTTGGGTGGTGGGTGTGGGCAATTTGGTAATTTGGACAATCAGGGGACTGAATCTGGGTATGGGAGTGAGCCGGGGTACAGAGGTGATGCGGAGCTTGGATATGGCGACGAGGAAGAAGATGATTCCAAAGTTTTGTTTTGGGGAGATGAATTTGGAGGTACTCCCAGCTTTGAAATTTGTGCTTTCCTTTAAAGTTGATGTTGGTTTGCTTGATATGTTCAAATTCTGTGTTTCATGGCAGTGGCTGCTTCATAACTAGTATTTCTAAGAATTAAAGATTCAATGTGTGATGTCTCCAAGCATAAATTAGTTCTTGACACAAGCATTTTACTAATACTGCATTTGTTGTGAACTTGTAATCTTAGTCATGTTCAGAGTTGAACTTAAGACGGAGCTCGTAATGATTGTCATTGGTGGAAACGATGAGACTAGTTTGAATAGGGAACTACATTTGTCTATATAGCCTAGTCCTTGATCAAACCTTCTATGACTTCACTTCGCTTCGCTTCTAAAGTTGGGGCGAAAGATGGTTTGTTGGATTATATTATTGGTTTTCGGCTAATAAGGTAGAAAATTATATATATTTATTAGAATAATGAAGTTTTCCAGTAAAGATTATACTCTTCCGAATGTGGGCTTCAAACGGAAAAATAACTTTGACATAGTGAAGTTGCTGAGCATGTACTTGTAACAGATAACTGTATTTACATCTTGTAAAGCAGTGTGAAAAAAAAACCTTGAAGTCATTCAGTTGATCTAGCATGCGCTTGTGCATAAACTTGATGTATATTCTTATATGATTTGCAGTTCTTTAGCATCTAGTTTATCTATAGCTATTACGAGTCGTTTGTGCGTATCATCAAATTCGGAAAAATAACTTTCACATAATGAAGTTGCTGAGCATGTACTTGTAACAGATGACTGTAATTACCTCTTGTAAGGCAGTGTGAAAGAAAGCCTTGAAGTCACTCAGTTGATCTAGCATACTCGTGTATAAACTTGATGTACATTCTTATATGATTTGCAGTTCTTTAGCATCTAGTTTATCTATAACTATTGCGAGTCGTTTGTGCGTATCATCAAATTCGAACAACCTTTTTTGGCAGCCACCAAAAGGTGTCGTAAATGTTGTTTTGTTTTTGGGGTCGCCAGCTTTTTTTCTGTTTCGTGTATTGTTTAAGCGGATATGTATGCATATATTCTGTTTATAAATGAATTATGTGGACATAAATTGTAATGTTTATATTTGGTGTCTAATTAATTAATACGTCTATTTGCTTACGCTAGTCTTTGTCTTTTGTTGTATAATTTGTATTAGATGCATCTTCCAAGATGGAAAAGGTCGGTAAAAACTCTCTGCAGAAAGCTCATCACAGATGCCGGCGTAAGAAGCATGATGTGAAAATGGTTGATACCCTAAGGTAGAGATAAATATATAAAGAAAGTGAGAGGCCCTCTTTGATAATATGTAGAGTTGTTTCCATCTATCCATGGTCATCATTCAATGTGAAGGGATTGCATTTTTTGTTTCTGTCAAGATTCAACTTCTTGTCGTTGAAGCTCTCCTCAAATCGAAACACTTCTTGTCAAAGTAGTTTTTCGTTTTTTTTTTTTCAACANTCTGTACATCATTGCATATGTGTTGAAACAATTCGGATTTTATTTGGGTTAAAAAAAAAAAACAAGGTTAGAAAATTGAATAAACCCTGAGATTTTTAAAATGCCTTTATCTCTCCAGAGAAAAATTTGGCACAGGAATCAGACGTAATAATTTGACAAACCTTTGAATTGTTTATGTAAATATCCCAAAAAGGCAAAAACCATGTTTTTTTTGGGTAATATTTTATATTTTCCAAACTTAATTTCTTCTTGTATACAAACGGAATATGTCATCATTTGATCATTAGTGTTAGTGTCTTGTTTATGTGTCATATTTGGCTAATAAGGTAGAAAATTATACTATATATTTATTGGAGAGGTAAATTGATCAGCTAGTTTTTCGATCAAATATATTTTTTTGCATTTGGGATTTAAAGCCTGAAACACTATCAATTTCGAACAGACTAAGGTACATAAAGATGTGCATTGTAGTAACAGCAAAAAAGCCAACCAAAAAAAAAAAATATTAATATAGGATTTGTATCCCTTTTTGTTATATTCAGGTCACAATATATTCCACGTGAGCAGACTTTAGACATCTTCATCTTCATCGTTGTTATCGTGTTTTTGATCTTCTGCAACAGTTTTCTGGTTATTGCTTAAAGTATTGTACCCTGAAAAGTAGACATTAATGATATGCCTCGACTTGTTAAATTCATATAAACATTAAGGGGGAAAGAAATGAAAGAAAACAAATGAAAATGGCTTCAATGTAAAGTTAAATCATACTAAAATTAACGACGAGGCATATACCAAGAATTCATCGATAATTCAAATTCAACAGCCAACAGAACATTAAAAAGAAGAGACCAACAAAAAAAAAAAAAAAACTTCTTACCAGATTCACTGAATATTACTCCACCAGTACACAATCCTTCCTCAATTTTCATGAGCTGAAGGGTCATTCTAGGTCCAATTTCTTGAAGCTTCACAGCACTTTGATTTGATGCTTGGTTGACTCTATCAAGATCCATTGGTAGACTTACAGTTGCTGCTTCATCATCCATTTCACTTTCTGAGCCATAACCAGCCCTTCAAAGAGCAAAAAAATAAAACATTTAAAGAAAATAAATGGGAACATATAAGCTTCTACAGGTGGCAGAAGAATCTATCTAAAAGCGAATGAGAATAGTTAGTTAAAACACAAGGTCAACTTTATGTTTCACTTCCTAGACTATGTCATTTGAAATGAACAAAATATCTTACAAACAAACTAACTACAGAAAATAAAATTGCATGCTCCTCATACACACACAAAGAGAGAGAGAATATACTTTGTCACAAAATCACTGACATCCTTAAGATTTCTCAAATCAGGCACCTGATGATTCTGCACAAACTTCCTTATTCTGCGAGATACCCCCACAGGCTGTAACCTAATTGAGTAGTGGCGAAAATCAATAAGCTTCGTATCCTTGTTGTAATTAAGCAACACAATCCTTTGGCATGACGAAACCTTAACCTGCAACAAATCGAACGTAATCTTAATTCACAAGAGAGGACACTCCCCTGAAGCTATAAAAACCACTCCATATGACCCAAAAGACTTACGGTATTTATATCAATGGCCGGAAAAATGTTCTGAAACATAATGGTTGTAAGCTTTAGATGTTGTTCTCCAGTCCCAAAACCAGATAGCACAATCTGCAAGTTATGCATCATTAATCCCGGTTTGCATTCTTTATGGTGAAATTAAACTCTAGAAAACAAATTTAGATACTAAATTTTTATAAACAGCCAAATCCACCTCAATGTATGCTAGGAAGAAGATTAGTAGATTAATACAGTGTGTATAATCATGGACAATTTACCAATGGCGGTGTCTTGAAGAGGTCTTTTGGGCTTCTCGGGCGCAATTGTGACCGAGCAATATCGGTAGCCAGTGAATACTCATGAATCTTGAAAGTAATGGTCGGGCCCTGTGGAGTTCTAGCAACCCTCAAATATGGCGCGGTTTCGGTTTTTGATAAGATGAGGAAATGTGTGACACCCATTGGTCCCGCAACATTCAAGAAGTCTTTGATGTTGTTACGTTTTTTTTCCTACATAATCGGGAAAAGAGAAAAAAACTTGTAAGTAATACATCATTCATAAATTATCCGATAGAAGAACAATGCACTCAAATTTGGTATACGAAAAGCATTTGTTAGCTTCATCTTCATTACGCAGCAATATGAATGATTCTCAAAACCCACACTGACACATATAGCACACACACACACAAAAATGTTTCTTATCTGTAACCAATACATAATTGAAAATGAAAAAACCTGCAATACATCATAAATAAATGATCTGAAAGGAGCTGAAGAACAATGCACTTGAACTCCGTATACGAAAAGCATCTGCCAGCGTCATCTTTTACACAGCAATATGAATGATTCTCAAAACCTAATACAACACATATAACACACACACACACACACCTTGAGCTTCAGAGCGGTGTACGGAAGCATCAATTTCCTCAAATCCATCTCCAGTTGCCTGAGAGGGCCGGGCAGCTTCCCTCGACAGAACACGAAGCTCTTAGGGATTTTATCGCCTGTGACGTGGTCCACCGTTGGCTGTTTCCTGACAATCGGCTTCACAAACGGCTTCCTCTTCTTCTGCAAAAATCAAATATTTCACAGAGCAGAAACAAATTATACAACAAAAAGTTACGAATTTGCAAGAGAATCAAAATTAGAAGCACGCCGGAAAACAAAAAATACAATTATCCGATACTTCTTACATTTCGAAATCGAGCCATGGCTTCAAGACGAAAATCAAAACGCTCAAATGAACGTAATTTTTACGGAGAGATTAGGGTTTAAAGTTCGGTTAATTACGGTTTTAGTACCCGACCCCAAATGTAATGCTATGAACTCTGAAATGGCATATTGGACTGGACTGGGCAGGTTGCTGGACCTTCAACCAAAAACAAATAATTGTACAGTGAAGCCTTTGAATTGGGCCATAGGCCCATCTACACGTTTTTTAAAATAGGGAAATTTTCACCTATGCTATCCGTTTTTGAATTAATTGCTGCCTTACCATTCAAGCTAATTTAATTATGTTTACGCCTAAAATATAAAATATAATTATAAACCTACCTAAATAACTGTTACACGAGATGTACCAGCTTCCCTTGTTTGTAGGGCATAAGTTTAGGGTATCAAGATGGAATAATATCTCATTTGAATTTGAATTGAGATACGTACGTTACAAAAAGAAAGAGAACACGCCGGCGAGAAGAATTATTCCGGAGACACCCGACCGTCGTTCTTCATCCTTTGGAAAAAAAAAAAAGCTTGCGTTTTTTCATTAATTGTCTCCGAACAAAGATAAGCATTAAGAGTATAAAAAAAAGAGTGGTGTGGATAAAATCCTGTGGCGATCACTCAACATTCACAACCGAACACCTATCAAGAAGAAATACATACAGGCCAAAAGATAGGGAGGTATATTTTGGTTTTCTTTTTTTTGTGTTATAAACTGTCCCCAGGAAAAAACAACCTGGCTTTTTTTTGATCATTTTGCTACTGAATTCATTCTATGTNGAAGGTAGTCCACTAATTTCGATAAACAGCGATAGGAGCCTTAGCTTCTATGTATATTTGGTGTCCAAGGAAGATGACTATGCAAAATATCCGGTGTGCGTTGTGGTGAAATCTCGGAGTACCGTTGAAAATTCGTTTGATGAAGAAGTGAATATAGGTTGTGTGAATGGCGAATCAAATATTGCTCCACTGTGTTTTCCGGAGCTTGATAGGCAACATGATAGATCAGATCGCACGATAAATTTCATGTCGTTTGCGAGGAACGTGGCTGCAGATATGGTAGAAGTGGCAGCATCTACCGAAAATATACTTGACATATACCCAGGTTCTGAAATGCGATTGAATGATGAGGAAAATTTTGACTCTGGTATTGTTGCTGGTCTCTTACTAAAGGACAAGGAAACGTTACAAACTATGTTGACCATGCATGCACTAAAGCATCAGTATCAATTCAAGGTTGACAAGTCATGCTCAAAACAATATTATGTCAGGTGTGTATCGAATGAATAGTAACCTGGTATATTTAAATTATATTATGGAATATTTGACTTATATTTTGATATATTTAACACTTTCAATATTTTGGCAGGTGTGTCTCGAGAGAGTGTACATGGTTTGTTAAAGCTTCCCGTATGGGTCGGTCAAACACTTTTAAGATAAGAGACGTGGGGACTGAACATATATGTGGTTTGGATGTCCGTACTAGTAATCAGAGACATGCGACATCAACACTAGTTAGTAGTTTCATCAAGACAAAGTTCACAAACAATAAAACTGCATATAATCCGGGTGATATCATTGACGACATGCAAAATCGGTTTGGGATAAACTTGACATATCACAAAGCATGGAGGTCGAAACGGAAAGCTGTTGATGAAGTTCGTGGCAAGGTTGATGAGTCATACAATTATGCTCATCAATATCTTAGTAAGGTACGTGCATCAAACCCGGGCAGCAATGTGATGATGCGCACCACATGGGATAAAAATTTCATGTATGTTTTCATGTCACTCGGTGCATCTGTCAAAGGGTGGGTACATTGTCGGCCAATTGTTATTGTCGATGGGACATTTTTGACGTCGGTATATGGAGGAATTTTATTGACAGCCTCTTGTCAAGATGCAAATTCTCATATATTACCGCTTGCATTTAGTGTTGTTGACTCCGAGAATAACAAGTCCTACCTCTGGTTTTTCACAAAATTGCATGAAGTAGTTGGTGATAGGGAAGGTCTTTGCATTGTTTCGGATGGCCACGAAAGCATACGGAACGCAGTAGAAAAGGTACTATTATATTTCTAGTAACATTTTAGTTTTTGTTTCTGCGGAATATACTTTATTCTCCATTTGATTTTTTTTTTCTTGAAATATAAAATGTTCCCAGCGTTTAGTATATTTTTGGTATCAATGGGGCATTATTTACCACGATTTATAATATATTCGCAATGCACATTTAGGTATTATATTTTCTTAGAAACAGTTATATTTCTAGTACAAAATTAAGTATTGAAAGGGTATATTTCTAGTAACAGTTATATAATATATACACTTTTAGAATAGGTAGTATTATATTTCTAGTAACAATTAAGTACTTATTCTGCAAAAATAACTGTTACTTCACCAGTGGTTTTTTTTTAGTTTTTTTTTTTTTG